CTTTTGATTCTTATTACCCAAGTTATTAAGAATATTACCAGTGGCATACAGGGAGCTTAACCAATGAGTGGTCAGAAAAGGTGTTTCTTCTGTAGATCACACCAATCGCTGGCTTGGCCCCCCTGGCCCAGGCCGGCCTCTGGCCCAGGCGTCAGGCCTGGGCAGGGGACCTTCATCTTTCCTCTGATCACCGGCTTGGCCCCCCTGCCCAGGCCTGACATCTCTGGCAGAGACGTCAGGCCTGGGCCGGGGGCCAGTCCAGTGACTGGTGATCAGAGGGTGATGAGGGTCAACTCCTCTGGCCGAGGCATCAGGCCTGGGTGGGGGGCTCATCACCCTCCAATAGCAGGATTGGCCCCTTGCCCAGGTCAGACGCCTCCGCCAGAGGCGTCTGGCCTGGGCAGGGGACCCCCAGACCCCTCCAATTGCTGACTCTGCCCCCGCCCAGGCCTGATGCCTCTGGCCCAGGTGTCAGGCCTGGGCAGGGGACCCCCATCTCCCCCCGATCACCAGCTTCTGGGGCTTCAGGGGCCCGCCTCCTGCCCAGGATGGTGGCTTGCTCTGGCGGCTGCGCTGTCCCGCCCTGCCTGCAGTATGCAAATTAGCCGTCATCTTTTTGGTGGTTAATTTGCATATCATGCTGATTAGCCAATGGGAGGCGTAGCGAAGGTACGTCAATTACCATGTTTGTCTATTATTAGATAGGATGTATAGTTTGAAAATATTTTCTCCCAATTTTTAGGTTGCCTTGTCACTCTGATTATTTCCTTGGCTGTGCTGGAGTTTTTCAGTTTGATGTAGTCCCATTTGTCTCTGTTTGCTTTTGTTCCCTGCACTTTTGGTGTTATAGCCAAGAAATCATTGCCAATTCTCATGTCAGCTTGGCCCCTTTGTTTTATTCTAGGAGTTTTATCGTTTCAGGTCTTTAATCCATTTTGAATTAATTTTTGTGTATGGTGTAAGGCAGGGGTCCTCAAACTCTTTAAACAGGGGGCCAGTTCACTGTCCCTCAGACCGTTGGAGGGCCGGACTATAGTTTAAAAAAAAACTATGAACAAATTCCTATGCACACTGCACATATCTTATTTTGAAGTAAAAAAACAAAACGGGAACAAATACAATATTTGTATTTGCATGTGGCCTGCGGGCCGTAGTTTGAGGACCTGTGGTGTAAGGTCAGGGTCTGTTTTTTATACGAACTTTCAACCAGTCCCCCTCTCTTCTCAGCTCCTGACCCTCTCCTTCCAGGCACCAGGAGCTCCATTTCCCGAGCTTTTCCTCAGCTGGCTTTTGTTTGCTTCTCAGGCAGTGAGCTTCCAGCCTGCTTTGCTCACCTCAGCTCAGTAGTCATCTCTGCGTTCAGCTTCCAAAATGCCATTATTGTCTGTTGTCTGCTCTAAAATACTTTTCTGCTTTTTTTGTCCTTCTGGATTTATAAAAAGCCCTATTCCATTGGCTACCTACAATCCTCAAATCCATTTAAATTATATTTAAAAGGCTTTTAAAAATGTTATCTCATATTTTCTATTGTTAGGTCCTACCTCCAAAAATAATTGTTCAGTTTATCCCTTTGCTTCCTTTAGTTAACTAGTTTCTGCCAAGTGACATGTTACTTTCCCAAACATCATTTCATTATTCAAAATAAACTGAGATTTTTGTTTTTAATATGAGACTTGGTGACACTCTGTTTCCTGAGATACTGTTTTGGAGGGAGCTTCTTGCTGTATCTTTAGGTGTATACACTATGTGTCGGTATTATCAGATGATGTCCTTTTATCTAAGTCCATTTTACTCTTAAGCTGTAATTGAATACTTGTAAACGAATAAAATGTCAAGAGCGTCCTATGTTCTTTTTAGTTACTTGTGACAGTGGCTTTCTTTGTGATTGTATTGATTATTTACAGCAGGGGTGGGAACCTTTTTCTGTCAAGGGCCATTTGGGTATTTATAATATCATTCACGGCCATACAAAATTATCTGCTTAAAAATTAGCCTGTTATAGTTGGTTAAACGTTTAATTAACTCACCCCTAATGCCTTGGAGGGCCAGATCAAATGATTTTGTGGGCCTTATTCAGCCAGCTGGCTGGACGTTTCCCACCCCTAATTTACAGTGTAATACTATTTCTGACCGATAGGATAAAGAATTATTAAATGAGGGGGGCCTGCGTCCTTAGGGACTATCAAGAATGATTTTTTGTTTGTTTGTTTGTTTTGTTTTGTTGTTCTTCCAAGAATCATTTTCTCTTAGGACTGTTAGTTGGCTCAAGATATCAGCTATTCAGTTTGGCACATGGAAGTCCCTACGATTTTTTTTTTTTTTTGGTGTCACGATTTTATTACTGGGTTCCTACGTGGCCCAATGGAAACGAGAGACTGCTGACCCTACGATTTTTATCCTGGGGTCTAGGGATAGGCTTCAAAGAGTTCAAGATCCTCCTGAATTGGAGTGGTAGTAAAATAGGCTTAGCTTTTGTTAGGTACTCAGTGATGCATGGCTTATATGATCCTGAACAGGATCGAGAACTCACCTCTAATAGATTATTCTAGAGTAAAAAATAGAATGTTACTGTCTAAATTAAACATGATAAAAAATAAAATGCTACCTTGCTAGCTACTATTGGATTCCACATTCTTTCACATGTAAGTACAAGTAACTATAAATGAGGGACTAAATGAACAATTACTTCTTTATTCTTTGCCACATGCAACATATTATCTCTAGCTTCCTGGTTATGCAACATGTAACTATAAAAGGTATCATTAATGAGGATACTGTTTGGATCTTAGAGAAATGACCATCTTTTTTGTCAACTTGTAAAGAAGGTATCTTAGTAGTTACCCTTGGTTTTCATATTGAAGATGCTGTACTTAATATGTGAAAATCAGTTACTTGTTAACAATTAGTAGGTAAATATATAAAACAAGCACCTCTGTGATAGAGGGTTATGTATGGACTTTAGTTTTTAATTAAGAAAAGGTGGGGTAAGATTTATGTTATGTATATTTTAGAACAACAAAAAATCTGGAGGGAGGGAGGGAGTGAGGGAGACACATGGGGGTGGGAGGTGGGGAAGGTCAATTGTGAATTTTTTGTTTCCAATCTAATACTTTAATGTTTTGTGAGATCTACTGGATTTATAAGGTCTCTTTCAGCTTTAGAATTTTATGATTCCATTTTTGAAGTGGTTAAGCTTAAATTGCTCTTTTCTTCTAGGTACACCATTGAGTTCTTTGGGAGGCACAAAAGTGTCTGGTTGGGAAGCTTATGAAATAAAAGACAAGACCCTGCCTCAGGAAGCGTACATGAGAATAATTTTAAAGGAAACTATCGATAAATGCAGAACAGTAGCTGTTGGAGGTATGTAATAACTTAGAGCTTGGATTGAATGTAGCGTGACCCACTCTGCTGTACTAAGTCAAATCCAGCCTTTCTCTGGGCATCACCCCACCCTGTGGTCTCAAATACACTAGTGGCTATTGTTCTCTCAACTTGACTGCATAGTGAGATGTGACTCTTAACGCTTCCTTGAGCAGCAGTGACTCAGCCCATTTCGAGTCCTTCCTGTGCCTGAAAGACAATAAAGGTGACAGAGGCAACACTGGACTCTGAGCGGATGAAGTGCCTCCTTTTCTGGGAATGGGCGGGCCGCTTCAAAGCTCAGCGAGTGCGTGCCGGCTGTTACTCTGGAGTCAGCTGTCATTTATTGGCTTTGCTCTTACCTTGGCGGATGCCAAGGCGCATCTGGTGGGTGCTTGCTGGATTGGCTTGACGGATTTCCTATTAGTCATAAGCTTTGATCTGTTTGTCGCCTTGACCCCTTCACCCCACTCCCCCACGTGTCAGTTACATGCAGTGGTTCTCAACCTGGGCTGCACATTAGAATCACCTGGGAATCTTTTTAAAATCCTGATTTCTGGGCCTCATCCTCCGGAAATTCTGTTTCTTTGTTATGGGGTGGGGCCACAACATTAATAACAAAGAAACAGAATTTCCGGAGGATGCGGCCCAGAAATCAGGATTTTAAAAAGATTCCCAGGTGATTCTAATGTGCAGCCAAGGTTGAGAACCACTGGTTACATGGTTACTTCATTTTCTTGCTTTATAGCCTTTAATTTTTTTTTTAAATCCTCAACTGAGGGTATATTTCTATTGATTTTTTAGAGAGAGAGGAAGAACGAGAGTGAGAGAGAAACATAGATCGGTTGCCTCCTGTATGCACCCTTACCGTGAATCAAACCTGCAACCTGTTGGTGTACAACCTTTTAGTGTACGGATGATGTTCAATGAACTGAGCCACTGGTCAGGGCTAGCCTTTAATTTTTATCTCCTCAATAACTTATATCATCAAGGTCATGGTCACCCATTATTTCATATGCTGTGACCTTCAGTGGATGTCTGGCTTTTGATGCACTGGCTCTTTTTTTATGAAACAGTTACTGTTTCATAATTATACTGAGAGTATATTATTGGTATGAGACCTTATTAAAATATGCCATTTTTTAAACATATTTCTATGTGTGTGTGTGTACATCTCTACTATTTTGGCAACATTTTAAAGTTTGAAATGATTTCAAAATAAACACAAAAATTCACACACAAAAACTAAATTGATTTGACTTTTCTTCATTGACTTGGTTAATTAATTACTTGCCTAATATTTGACTAAGTCATATAATTTTACCCTTCTAAGTAAGATTTGATTTCTGAATAACTCCCTCATTATGAGGAGGTTATTTGTTATATTTTTTATTATGTGCTATCTGCTATGGGTCCATAAGGTGATGTCCTGAGAGATTCTGATGAACTTTGGTCCTTTAATTCAGTGTTATTTCATTTGATTCTGAATTAGTGGGATATAGTGAAAAGAGTTGCAATAAATAGAGTATGCCAGTGATGCAAAAAGAAATCAGACTCAAGAAGAAGTATGTAACATGTACCTGTGGCACTCAGTAACTTAAGTGAATCACATACTGTTGTCAACTTTTTTCTGTTGTTTCCTGAGAATCCCATGTTAGATTTGTTTTGCAGAGGAGGACCTGCTGTCCTGTCTGGGCTACTGATTAACCCCACAGAGCCCTTCCTGGCCCATCCCTCGGTCTGCATTGCTATATTAGAACACAGTTTCCTGGCAACAGCAATATATCTGGCATGACTTAAACTAATGGACAGTTTTTTTAGCATATTTGATGATGCTAAGCAAGTGGAATAAATGTCAGTATAGATTGTTAGATGAAGATTTTGAAAATTTGTAGTGTATTTAGTGCGTAGAAGGGACCAGAAACATAATGTGGTAAGTATGCTGGCTGGATTAATGGCACAGTTTGTCAGCTGCACACTTACATAAGACCATATTATGATTAGAAAATTTTTTAAATTAACATTTGAAGGGCTTGGGGTTTATTTATTATGATTTTTTTTGAGTAGCTGTGTTTGGAAATTTTAATTTTGTAAACTATTTTAGCATAACATAGCTGCACAGTTAGCCTTGAAAATGGCTGTTTGTTTTTAAAATATTGTGCTGTTTACTTTGACTTGGCATTGGTGGGAATAGTTTCTAAGGAAAATAGTTTGTAACCCAAGTTATAAATAATTTTCAGGTTTTTAAATTATTTATTTCAAAGCGTTCACTCTTTATTATTTTGGGCTCAGAATTTGAGAACAGACTTTCCCTAGTATTTTGTTTTTATCATCACAGTTGTATTTTTCATGCAGTGAGTGCATTTCTGAAACTAATACCTATGATATTTTTAATAAATTGATAAATTTAGGTTGACAAAGAAAGTTCACTAATTTTAAAAGATCCTTAATAAATCCTTTATAGTGAAGATCTGTGGGAGTGATAAGGGCTGGGAGGAGGGAGCAAAGGCGGGGAGGGATGGGAGATATCTGTAATACTATCAACAATAAAAAGTATTTTTTTAAAAGAAATCCTTTAGTAAAATGAGGAAAGCTTCCTTAATTTTTTTTATTCTTTTTATTTATTCAGGGGTTTTTAATATTGGGCAGTCTTTTGATAATTACTTTATATCGCTTCACTTAATAGTGTTTTTAGATTCATACTTGTGGTTAACATGTATCAATAGTTTATGTTGCTGAGTAGTATTCCATTGTATGAATTCATCTATTTACCTATTGATGGACATTTGAGTGGGTTATAATTTTTGTCTATTATGAATATAACTTCTGTGAACATTATTGTACAAGTCTCTTTGTGGAATATGTTTTCATTTATTTTAGACTAGAGGCCCAGTGCATGGAATTCGTGCACAGGTAGGGTACCTAGTGGGACCAGCTGCGGGGAGGGGCCGCAGGTGGTTGGCTGGCCGGCCCTGCCCCCTGGTCAAACTCCCGGTCAAGGGGACAAGTTGCATATTAGGCTTTTATTATATAGGATGTACACTTAGAAGTGCATCAATAAAGGGGTTATATAATTAAACATGCTCATCAGCAATGTATGCCTTGCTCCAATATGCTCCAACCATTTGACAACAATTGCTATTGTCAGTCTTTTCACTATTAGCATTCTAGTGGGTGTAGTGTGGTGTCTTGTGGCTGCCTGTGATTTCCTTGATGATAATGATGTTGGACATTTTTTTCATGTATGTACTTATTGGCTTTTCTTATAAAGTATCTAGCTAAGTCTTTTGCTGTTTTAAAAATTGGGCTGTGTGACTTTTTTATTCTTGACTTTTTATGCTTTTTAATTCTTGAACTATAGTACATAGTTCTTTATGTATTCTAGAAAGAAGTCCTTTGTCAGATATATGTATTATGAATATTTTGCAGTTGGTGGTTACCTTTTTATTTTCTTAACTGTATCTTTAAAAGGCAGAAGTTTTTATTTTGATGAAGTCTGATTTATTAGTTTTTTCCTCTTATTCATATGCTTTGCCTACTTCATGGTCACAAAGACATTATATAATTTTCCTGCTTTATAGTTTTAGTTTTTACGGTAAGTTCTCTGTGAGATCAGGATTTATTCTTCTTTCCATCTGGATATCTATTTGTTCCTGCCCAATTTGTTGAAAAAGACTATCCTTATTCCCACTGAATTATTTTGGCATCTTGGTAAAAAATCATCAGTTGACCATATATGCTTATGTCTATTTCTGGTCTCTGTTCTGCTTCATTGTTCTAGTCATGTGCCCTTAACACCAGTACTGCATTTTGTTGAGGATTTTTGCATAGGTGTGTTCTAAGTGATATAGATCTGTAGTGTTCTTCTATTGTCCTTGTCTGTTTTTTTTTTTTTTACATTCTTTGTTGTTTAAAGTATTACATAAGTCTCCTTCCCGCCCCCCCCATTGACC